AAACCTCGTGAGACTGAACTAGATTAAAAACAAAACTCTCCGGCGAAGCCGCAGGCCCTCCAAGCTAGGTAGTCCCCTACCAACAGAGCGCAGCGCATGCCAGCAGCCCTGCCCCTAAACGGCCCGTCCATCCCCCGGTAAACCGCCGTCCCGGGAGGACGGGGGTGGGGTGGGGGTGGGGTTGCGGGGACCGGGGGCAAGGGCTCGGACACACACGGAAGCGTCTGGCACGCCGAGGTTGACACAGCGGCTTCCGGGGGAGTACGGGGCAGACAGGGTCCCCGACGAGCGGGGGGAGGCGCAGACACCTCCCAGGCGCCGAGAAGCCGAGAGTCGCGGGCTGGCACGGCCTGGCAGCCGAGCAGGCCGGGGCCGGGAGTGGCACCGGAGGGCGGTGCCCGGCTTCGCGTGCGACGAGCGCTGGCCGCGGGCCCCCTCCTGGCGAGAACCCCTCCCCCGCCACGGGCACTGACCTGTCCAGGGCCCGGCTGGGCCTGGCCGGGCGGGGCCTACGCAGCCCCTCGGCCGGGCGCCGCCTCGCGCGGGGTCCCGGGCCCGGGCGGGCCGCCTCCTCTCCGCCGGGAGCCTCCGAGCCGGGGCCCGGGGCTGCCGCGGCGCATCCGACCTCACCGGCCTGGCCGGCGTCAACAAAGGGCGGCGGGGGCGCGAGGCCGGGGCGGGGGCGCGGGCGGCGGCCGGATTGCGCGCGCGCGGCGGGCGCTCGAGGGCTGCAGCCGCCGCGGAGACAATGCGGCGCGTCCCGGCAGGGCTCCCGCGGCCGCCTCCGCCGGGGGCGGGGCGCGGGGCGGGGCGGGGCCTGGCCGCGCGGGGCGGGGCCTCCGGGAGGCGGGACGCCGGCGCGGAAGCCGGGCCGCGGGCTTCCTTTGTGCGGCCGCACCGGCTCCGCCCCTCGCCCTCCGGAAGGCGCCCAGAACGGGGCGGCGGGTTAGAGACGTAAGTTTGGAGAGGCCGGCGCCGCGCGGCTAGGCCATCTGCCTGCCGCCCGTCAGAAGTCCCCAGTGGCGTGGCGGACTGTTGACTCCCGCCCGGCCAATTCGGAGGCAATAATAATGACTAGCGGTAATCGAGTGCTTAGTATGTGTCAAGCCCTCCGCGCACGCATTCCCACTTAGGCTTCACAATAACCCTACAAGTAGTCCTTATTCTCCCCACTGGGAACTGAGGATCAGAGAAGTTAAGTAATGACCAAAGTGACCCAGTTACACCTCCATAAACCGGGATAATGCCTACTCTTTAGGCTTACTGTGAAGGTTAACTGAGGACATTTACACAAATTGCCTGCAGTGCCTGGCACACAGTTGGAGCCCAATAAATGCTACTTCTCTTCCTAAACCACACTGATTTAAACTGAATTGTCATGGCGAAGCACACTCATTCACTAGATATGCTAGGAGCTGTGGGAGATACCAGAGATGTGCAAGGTGACTCACCCATCTCACCGCCCCACCCCCCAGCTATACCAGGAATAGACGGCATGGACTTCTCCCTTCATGCGTGATGTCTCCTTTTTTCCAAATATTTTCCAATTTTCTTGCCTTTTTAAGCATTCGTATTCTCCCTCCGCCCCCACCCCTCCGCTTTTCCCCTTCAGGTCTCATCCCTTTTTCTTTGTTTCTGCGTCTTACATTTATTTTATATGCCGATTGTTTACTTCCCTCCCTCTTCTCCCTATTCCTCTTCCCTCCCCTCTACTATCTTTCGAATTTTCAAAAATTTCAAAGTCTTCGTTCCTTAACATTCCCATTTCCTTTGGGAAACATGGCATTTCTTATACTTACAAAGATAACATGGTATAGAACACTCAACTTTTCTATTTCCCAAACAGGCCCACACTTTCCTGCCTCCCTCCCTTTACTTCTTTTAGTCCCTCCTAGAGTGACTTTTCCCCAACTCTGCATGTCTAGGTCCTACTTATCCTTCAAGTTCTAGTCTCAGGAACAGTGGTCGGCAAACTTTTCCTGTAAGGAACCAGATAGCAAATATTTTAGAGTTTGCAGCAGAAAGTATATCCAGGGCTTGACACTTACTATTCAGCTCTGCTATGGTAGCTAGACAGCAGTCACAGGCAATACACACATGAATAAGTGCGGCTGTGTTCCAATAAAACTTCATTTATGGACACTGAAATTTAGATTTCACATAATTTTCACGTATCATGAAGTATTCTTTTGATTCTTAAAAGAATTTTTTAATGTAAAAATCATTATTTAATAGTTTTCAAAAACTGGCAATGTGATGGATTTGGCCCTTGGGATGTAGTTTGCCAGCCCCTGCTCTCGACAATGCCACTTCCTCTCGGCAATCTATCCTGAAAATCTCTACTTGGTGCTAACTCTTCCCTCTTAGCTTTTAAAGCACTTACCTATAATCCTCCTATGGCATTTATGACATTTTGGGTTTTTTTATTGTGTTTGCTTCCTGTGCATTTCTTGTCTTTCCCAGCAGACCTTAAGCTCCTGGAAGGTAGGGCATGGACCTTATTTCTCTATATCTATTACCTCCCAGCCCACAGTGCTTTGCATGGAGCAGGTATTTGAACATGGACAGAATGGATAATATTTAAGTCTTGGGTGGCTCACAGTTGTTTCCACTGAGCAAAGCTTACTTCTCTCATTAGATAGTACCTCAGGAACAGGATGCTTGTTGTAAGTATAGATTTCAGAAGGAGATTTTTGAGAGCTTTAGAGAGAAGACAGAGAAAGGCGAGTGTCAGTTCAGTAGGAGTCACTAGATAACAAGTACTGGAACAAGGAATGAATGTATATTACCACCAACCTGCAGACAAAGCATGTGTCCTCAGTCGGGTCCTATTCAACATTTCTATCAGCACGTTGGTTAAAGACAAAGAGAACATGCTATATGATTTACAGATGGCAAGGTGAAGCAGAGGAGCTAATACAAAGAATCATGAAATCCAGATCAAAACCATTTCTGTCCCCTCACTGATTCTCTCTGTGTCTCTGTTCTCCTATCCTTAAAATGGGGATGATAAAAGCCCTTCCTACCTCATAGGATCACTGTCAGGACTAAATGAGGAGATACACATAAAGCCTCCGCAGAGAGGGCTTAGTAAGTATCAGCTATTAACTATGTTCTTGCTGGGCAGGAACTACAGGCTGAATTCACAAGATAACATTTAATAGACATAATTAACTATATTTTGGCTCAAGCTACAAATTGTACAAGTTTGAGACTGTGGAGACCTGGAATGATAGCAGTCTGCGTAAAAAGAAACCTTAAAAACAAAATAAAAAATAAACCCCAAACCCAGCCCTCTGGGATTCAGGTGACACAGTGCATTCCCCTGGATGGGAGGAGCTACTGCGCGCTGACGCAGGAAGGTGAGGACGTTATGCTTCCAGCCACTCAGGACTCTGCCCTTTCATAGCAGTGTGACCTGGACCCTCTACAGGCTTTTATTTCCTCCTCCAAATCATGGGGACAATAATATTTATCTCTCAGGGTTAACATGAGTGAGGGAAGGAAAACTTAGAACAGTACTTGGCACCTAGTGGATGTGCAAACAAATCTCAGTTCCTCCTTAACCATACCATGCAGATCTGCGAAACAGTCCTGCCCCTTGAAGTGCGTAGAAAGCTAGGACCAGGTGCCAACGAATGGTGGCTAGTGGCTTCTTCTATTTGGAATTACTGTGCTTCATTCGGGGACTCACACTTTGGGAGAATTAATGCAAAGGTGGAATGTGGCTAAACAAGAATGACCAGATGATGGTGGGAATGGGAGGTCTTACAATGGGATGGGCTGGGAAAAAAAAAAAAAAAGGTCTCAGATATGCAGTCTGGAGATTATCCCTTTTTTTAATGGGAAGGAGAGGAAAGAGACATGGTAACTGTCTACAAACACTGCAGGAGATGGACCCTATTGCAATTCACAAGACATTCACGGCCAGTGGTGGAAGGTCCAGGAGATCTGGTTTTGGCTTAATTTGAAGAGCAACTTTCTGACAATTAGAGAAACTCCACAATGGAATGGGCTGCTTTTCAAACTGGTGAACCCCTTATTATTGTAAGTGTGCCAAGAGAATGGATGGCCTTCTTCCTGTCTTTTAATTTTCCTGATGTTCTTTCTCCACATTATTTTGCTTTCCTTTTCTTTGATCCCATCTCTATTCCTTACAGGACACTGATAGCCCTTTCCTCTAGTTTGTCCCCAAGTGCTATTCTTCTCATTTCTCCTTCTTGAGTTTCCAAACACTTTGTCTCTTGTCCCCACACTGACTGCCAGCACATATGAAGTCCGATGACTGGAACTGCCTCCCTGAGTTGTAGGTGGACTTTGAATGTCAGAGAATGTCAAAATGTCACAGATCTGGGCCAAGATTGCACACCAGCAGAGAGGGGACCCAGAGGTCATGCTGTGACTCTCCCATCAGGGTAGAGGGATCCAGCAGAGTGTCCTGAAGCCCAGGCATGGAGAAGGCCATTTGTCACTGGGCACTCACAGAGAGATGGGATCCTGGAACTGAGCAGTTCTTTCAAAGAGGTTTTGCATGAGCTGAACTCATTCTGAATCCCCTTCTGGCTCCCCCTAGGCATTTGCCATATCTTTGTTCTATGGTAGCCATTTGTCATATTTCCAATTTCAAAAACTCCTTCTCAGAGCAAGTGAAGCATAGAATTGAGACAACTGGAAACCTGCCTGACCTTTCAACGTGCCATACGGATATGCAGATACACCTGACAGTAAAGACATGTAGGCCTCAGAGTCTGGATCTAGAACCTTCGACTCCCCTTTGCTTTCTCTCTCCTTTTATATCTTCTGAGTCCCCTTTCTTACCTTTTGGTTCGTCTTCCCATCTCTCCCCACCCCCTCTGTTTCCACCCACCCAGCTTCCTTGTTGCCTTGTGGGCTGGCAGTGGTTTACCCGCCCAGGTTAGATGCCCAAGTGAAATGTGCCAGGGGATGGCCAGGATGGCCAACTCGCTCCCCTCCCTCCAGGGCCCCACTGCACTTCATACCGTGAGCTGGGGACTGCTGGATGTTAGGGCTCTTGGGGACGGGCAGGCCTCCAGGCATGGCGGTGACGATGGCCTGTTGATGGGGCGATGGGCCAGACTGAGTCTCGGGCACACTCTTCTCCCCGGGTACTGCTTCCTTCCAGTCATCCGTGGCGCATTGCTGGGGCTGTGAAGGGACACGACAGAGATCATCTGCTCACACATGGCCTCTACATCCTCAGAACTTCCCCTGTGTCCAAGGAGTTTGGAGAGCGGGCAAGGATGTTAAGGTTCAACCAGCCCCCAATTAGGGAGGGGTCCCAGGCTTTCTTGGACCGCCCAGAGGGGACTTTGAGAAAAACACATGCATGTGGGCGCTGTGGCATTGCCTGAGATGCGTCCTCCCGCCTGTTCCCGGGATGCTGGCACTGGCTCACTCACCACTGGTGAGGCAGGCTGCAGTTGTAAGATGACAGCTGAAGCATGCTGGAACCTGCGTTGAGGGGTGTGGGCCAGGCCCTCAGGGTATCCGTTGTGAGGCCCAGCGTCCGGCGTGGGAGGGTGACACTGCTGGGTGCCGCCAGCCTTGTGCAGGTTGGTCGTGGGGCACTGGAGAGGCAGGGCGGGAGTAACTGGGCCTAGTGGCTGGGCGTGGGCTTCGGGGCTGGGCTGCAGGGTCAGGCTGGGAGGGACAGAGGCGAGCTGGGGGTGGGACTGGGCTTGGAGTGCTGGCCGGGACTGCTGTGGCGGTGGCGGTGCTGGCTGCTGGGGCTGCGGCTGGAGCACAAACTGGGGCTGCAGGTGCTTTGAGGGCGGCTGCGAGAGGAGCTGGTGCGGTTGTAGCTGAGCATAAGCTGAAGGGGGGACAGACCAGGTCAGGGGGCACAGCTCGACCTCATCTTCAGCCAAGGCTCCCACTCTGCCCCTCCCACCTCCACAATACAACAGCTTCCCAGACTCAAGGTTTCGGCCTTTGATCTCTTTCAGCTTTCACTTTAACTTTCTCTATTTCCTTGCCTTCCTCCTGTGCTGAAGTCTTGTTCCCTCAGGCAGCCCGTCAGAGCCCAGTGCAAAACTCACCTCTTCTGGGAAGCCTTCTTGGACCAGGCCAGCTGATCGGAGGAGCCCTGGATTCAACAGTGTGCCATGTTCTCTGTCCCCTCCTTGCCCTTCCCTTGCTTTTCTCTGAGCCTGCAATCGCTGTGGCCTTCCATTGCCCAACCCAACCCTAGCTCTGCTCAGGCTGGGCCTCCTCCAGAAGAGAGGCTTGCGCTCGGGGTCCTGGACTCTGTTACATACACAGGGGCCTTGGGCTAGCTGCTCAACCTCTCTAGCCTCCGCTTCCTCTTCCAAAAGTTGGAAATAAAACCAGTTCCCGCCCAGAAAGTTGTTGTAGGGATGAAATGAGAAAAAATTTTGAGAATAAAATGAGAAAAAAAAAAAAAAAGAAAGACACAATGTGCATAGCACAGTGCCTGGCAGACAGTCATGCTTGATCATTTCTAGCTATAATTAAAGTGATGATTTCAATGTTGGTTTAGGTTCTCAAAGTATGCTGGACTTAGGTCTACCATAAAGAACATGTATCACAGTGCACTCTAATTGTTTCTTAGCTGCCTGCCCTTCAAATCATGAACCCGTTGTCGTCAGAAACTATCCTGGATCTCTTTTTCCAGAATCTGGCCTAATGCCTGATGTCAGATGGGGGCTGCTAAAGAAATAAACTTCTTGTCCTGAACTGGAATTAATTTGTTGCTATGTGCCGCTAGCCTTTTCTTCTCCCATTTTAACCAGACTCTTTGAGTTGGGGATTCTTACACTTTTTTAGTAATCCATTCAGTGTCTAGCTCATTTCTTATATATAATAAGGATTCGGAGAGTCAGCTCAGAGACTGATTGTCCTTACTCCTCACCCTGCTTAGTAGCCTCCAGGCCAGCCTAGCCTGAGGGCAGCTCATCCGAATCTGTCTCGCCTGACAGAGGCCCTCCACCAAGATTCCCCCAGCTGGGGAGCCACTGCAAGAGACACTGTACCTTGCAAATGTAGAGAGGGTCACAGCAGGAAGCACACAAGCGGATTTTTACAACCAAAGCTGCCCAGCCAATAGTATAAAGGCATATTTTGGATCCTGAGCTAACATTTTAAAAGAATCCTATGATCTTGACAGGTGGAAAGCAAGCAGATTTCAAACTGAATTGGGGACAGGGGCTTCTTTCTTAAATTTTGTCTGTCGACACATAACGTTTCCACAATCTCGTCACAGCCCAATACAGAGTTCCAAGCAGAAGGCCCATCGGAGTGGAAAGGAAAGGAAAGAAAGGAAAGAAGAGGTGTGATGGGGAAACAACGTGGCCCCTGGTGACTGACCGCTGTAGGAAGAGACAGGGCACAGGGGTTTTAGAGAAATGCGCCGGGTTTGAGGTGATTGGTGGCACATAAAAAATGGAAATGGCCAGTAGGCATTTGGTGATTATAAATTGCCCCGGCCTCCAATGGAAGCCTTGCCTCCCAGTTCCACATTAAAGAGCTCAGAACCTCAGTAGGCAAAGACTGTTAATCAGGCAATATAGACAATCAGGACTTTCTTTCTTTCTTTTTTTTTTTTTTTTTAAAGATTTTATTTATTTATTTGACAGAGATCACAAGTAGGCAGAGAGGCAGGCAGAGAGAGAGAGAGAGGAAGGGAAGCAGGCTCCCTGCTGAGCAGAGAGCCCGACTCGGGGCTCTATCCCAGGGCCCTGGGATCATGCCCCGAGCTGAAGGCAGAGGCTTTAACCCACTGAGCCACCCAGGCGCCCCCAATCAGGACTTTCTGAGATGACTGTTGATAAGGCGTCCGGGAGGTCCCACAGATGCCACGCAGGGCCCCATTAGGCTTGAGCGGCCACAAAGACCTGCAGGAGGATGGGCGCCATCCCTGAGAACTCAGGTAAACCTTTCTGCCTCTCAGTACAGAGTCACTAAGTCCTGCCCTGGGACCAGTCTCTGCTGCAGGGGCTGCCCGTCTGAGGCAAGCATGGGTGAGGGTGCGGGTGCGGGGCAGGGAGCAGAGCGTCCGAGGCATGTCCTGCCACTCCCCGGCTGTGTGGGACCCACAGAGGCGGGTCCTCCTCCTTCTCAGGGATTCAGAGTTTTCTCTGAAGCGGAGGTTTGGGTGAGGTGAGCACAGGAGTCGCTCCCAGCTCTAATCTGATGGGGGTGGCTATCATAGAAAGGTAGTTTAAAATTCGGGATGTATAAGGTGGTGAAAAGAAGGTTAGAGAGGAAAAGGGTTCTAAATGTCCAGCGCACAGAGTACAGTTAGGAACAATACACGCTTGGTTGCCAAGATTGGGAAAGCAACCGCTGGCCCGCTCTCCCAGGGCATCCCTGTCTATCCCACTAGCCCACTCTCTCCCCTCTATGCTGCTCATGGAAAAACAGAGGCATTGTTTCAGAAGAGATGATGCTAGTGTATGCCATGCTAGAAACAAAGCTCCTGAAGACTTAGGTAAGTTCATAGATCAAAGACTCAAGGCATTTGGGGGTGGGGGCAGGGGGAGTATACACCGTAACCTTTTGAGGTTAATAAAGAGCAAAGACCATGATTTAACTCTGGCATTATCCTGGGTCAAAAGTTCTTTTATTTAAAATATTGCAATAACTTTCTAATTGGTCTTTTCTAATTCCAGTTTCTTCTCTCTATAATCCATCTTATAGACTACAAATTAATCTTTCTTTTGCAAGTTAATCTTCCCAGCGCACAGATCTGACCCCTGATAGAAAGCCATCAGGGATCCTCCTCTGTCTGCTGTCTAAAGCCCCTGGCATTCAAGATCTCTTTACAACCTTTTAATTTTTATTATTTCTTTGATCCAAGCAATCTCCGCTCACTGTCCCCTGTACAGAGTTTATGCCTTGTCTCATCCTGCCCCGAGTGCCACACAAATCAAATCCTTTCTCTGCCCTTTGGGCCAAGGACACTCTTCCCCTTGAGCTACACCAAGGTCTCTCTGCTTTGAGCGGCCCTCAGAGATGCAGCGTGTCCTGTGGTCAAGTGTAAGCTCCAGAGTCAAAGTGCTTCATGCTTAGCTCTGCCACTTACCAGCAGTGTGGTGCTGGGCAATATATGACCTCTCTGTACTCTGTCATCATCTTTAAAAGGGGTAAAGATGATACCTATTTCATGTTATTTCAGTAAAAGACTTATCTCCTTTAGGAGGCAGAATTTATGGGATTCATTTATTTCATTCAAAGAACCTTGAATTTAGTGGCTCCTCAGTCAGTACTGGGGAATGAATGAATGAATGACAACATGGTGGGACTCCAGCTTGTTTGTCCCACGAAAGCTTTGCGCTTTAGAGCCAAAATGAAGATGAGAAGGATATAAGCCCACAGGTCATTTTGGATTAACCAGCATGCTGGTTTATGGAAGGCCCTCCTCCCGTTCACCCCCTGTTCACTACCTTCCTGCACTCACTTTCAACCCACCCCAACCGCTCTACTCGCTGTGCATAAAACATCATATCCCATTGTGCCTGTCTGGCTTTGATTTCAGTGCTTCCATTTTCTGGAATGCCCTCCTTCTGCTTCAGTGATCTGAGGCTTAAGCTGCTTTGGCTCAGGCTCAGCTCCTGTTGTCTCCCTCTTTGCCTTAACTCTCAATTATGGGTTTTCCAGCAGAATTCCTGAAGGTTTCTGTTTGTTTGATTTATTTGTGATTTAACATGTGCTATCTTGTATACAGATTTCAGGATTCTTAAAAACTGATTCTTATTCTCCCCCAACCCTCATTTTAACATAACATCCTCTGAATGGGCATGTACATCCCAGTTGCTGTCAGTTCAAGGGGTGGTGCTCATCCTTCTTAGATTTTAATAAAATAGTGGTGTCCTAGATGAACTCAAACGGGGATATTTTTGTTCTTGTGCACGTTTCCTATCTACCCAGCTAACCTTTTTCAGTCAAAGGCATGTTCTGTGTTGCTTTTTAATTTTTTCTTAATTTAAAAGATATGCTTTAATTTAGCTGGAAGGTTTTTATGTCTCACCTTCTTCATTGTCCAACAGGATACTCTACATGCTTGCAGATGCTTAGTAAATGTCTGCTGCTGATCATGGTGAGATCCAAGAATGCTTCTCCCCCTGCCATGCCCTCCAGCTCAGTTTCGGGTGCTAAAGAGTATTTCTGAAGGCAGCCATGATACCAGAGCAGGCCATGTCTCTCTTCCCCACAAGTGGAATGGGGCATATCCATCTATACAACGTTAATGCACAGAAATCTCTTTTTTCTTTTTCTTAGTTTTTTTTTTTTTTCTAATGCCAAGTGGCTTCATTTTTTCCCCCACACCCACTTTGGCTCCCCCATCCCCTCCTGCTGTAGAGTCCATTGCTTCTACAGAACAGAGGGTTGCCTCTGTGGGATCTCAGCCACAACTCGCAAGACTCCATCATGATGCCCTTTCTGTTATGGAGCAGGGGAGGGGCAGGCCCAGGACCTCCATTAATTAGAGCCTAGAAAGGAAGAGAGACTCTAGGCAATGCTCATCTTCCTCTCTGGTGCTCTAACCTTGAATGGCCTCCTTAGAATCTCAAGAGGCCAATCCACAGCTCCCAAACCAGTTGGTCCTTAGCAACAAGAGGATTAAGGTCCCCTAGGCAGAAGGGATTACCTGCTCGCCCCCTTCATTGCATCCACTCTCAGAATTTATCAATAATTAATCTCTATTGATCTCAAGGCTTCAAGGATGCAGGAAACAGCTCACTGCCCCAGACGGGCTGGGACTCTTGTCCCAACATACACCAGAGTTGCCAGCATCTCCCTAATGGCTCCAGGCTTGCTTGTACACTTATTTTTCTAGACTCTGCTACAGTG